TTTGACCTGACACCCACATTGTAAATTCCAAGAAGATACATATTTCTGACCTGTTCTGACTATATTCGCAGGACCAGGACTGTGCCTGCTGGGAAGCATGTATTTGACAAATCAATATGACCTGCAAGAATTAAAAATAAAAGCCAAATGGCACTTCTTATTTCCGAAGATTTGGAGCCCAAAGAGAAGGCTGGGGCTGCACTGAGGGTGCTTGCCAGCCAGTCAGCTCATAAGACACACACAGTCCACAAAAAACTTGCTTCCCCCGTTCCAGTTTGGGGAAACGAAGAAACATAGGCACAACGGAATTTAAACGGAGGGACTGAGCGGGAATTAGATATGATCAAAATGCATTGTATAAAATTGTCAAAGCCTAAATAAAAACATATTCTTTAAAAAAAAAAGAAATTTAAACACACAAAATTTTAACTCCAAGACCCACTCAAGCACTGACTGCATGTGTGTGAGCTAAGGGGTGATTGGACATACGGTTTCAACTTCTCCTGTTCCCATACAGGTCACTAAGAGCTGTAATACTATCTGTACATTAACATCAGAAGCAGTAGTCAAGGTCAGAGGTGTGGTGCAGCCGCACACCTGTCTTAATCCTTTTACAGGAAGGGAAAGTGACCCCACTTTCCCAAAAGTGTACCAAGCCATTGTGTGAGTGGGTACACTGTAGGTCACTCCGTGAGTCCTTCCCAGACCCGCCATTGTGGAGCAAAGACACTCCCTATATACTCTTTCTACAACCTGAGCCAAACTAGCGAGCAGGATTAGGAATAAGACAGAGCAAAGACTCCGCAGGCCCCGTGGGCTCCATTATTCTACATGCCCTACGAGAGAAGTGCCACCCCAGGGACAGCTACTGCAGATCGCAGCCTCATATGCTGCCAAGAAACCCGTCCCCTTGAGGATACCCAGGAGTGTGGTGCAGTTCCAGGTCCGGTGAGAGGCACCCCACCCATCTGCCAGAGAGACAAAGATCACCAGAAACAAAGGACACACACACACACACAGGGACACTCACAAAGTCAAAATCAAATACCAACACTCGGTGAAATTTCAAAACAAACAACCAGGTTGGTATGTCTTTAAATAGATTGTGAAACCATCCTAGAGGGACAACGATTATGTGACAGGAGCGATCTGGGCTCCGAACCCACGCTGCCTCCGCCCTCCTCCCACCCACGCTGCAGTTGCCAGGCGCATTTCCCAGCCTCAGGACGCGTGCTGCCGGGAGCAAGCTCATCCACGCCTGCCAGTGAGGGACCTGCAGGTGGAGGAGAGCCAGGGTAGCCCGAAGTAGGCAATACCAACCTTTAGGATCCCAGTTCACCTGCTTTCTTGGCGTCTCGATTGGAAATTTCATTGCTCCGTTGCCCACAGGGGGATGAAATGAAAAGAATCAAAATAATAATAATAAAGTCTTCAAGATTTACAACTCTTCAGTTAAACAGACCAAGAGAATAATTTGTTAGGATGGAGGAACATTGGAGTGGCTCGTGGAGAGCCCCAAAGAAAGACAAGCGGGAAAATACTAGCTGAGGAAAGCACTGAGCACTCTTGGGTGTTTGCACCGGTTACGGAGGTGGCCAGCTGCTGCCCTCGTGGGTGAAAGAAAAAGTAAGATCGGATGCTGAGGGTGGTTCCGAAAGGATGAAAGAGCGGGGTCGCTTCTGCAGAAGCGGTAGGAAGACCCAAAGCTGAGCAGCCAAGGGGCCGACGCTGAAGAGAATCCCACTGCAGAGTCCCTCGGGTCCCCAAAGGCGTGTTCGTACCCCCTCTCTCGCTTACACACACACGCGCGCGCGCACACACACACTACACACATACAGGCGCGCACACACCCGGCCGCGCGCTCTGGCGGGCACGTCAGCCTCGCTCGGCTGAGCACAGAGCACTCGCCCCACCCCAGCCGCGGCTCCTCGCCCCCGGGCGACGCCCCCCACTCCCCACCCGCTGAAAGCCATTGGACCGAAGGGTGGCGCGGCGCCCGGGGGAGCTAGCGGCCAAGGCGACCCTCCCCGTGGCACGCTGCAGGTGCCGCGCCACTGCGGGAGAAAGCGGGACGCGTGTGGATCTGGACACCCGGGTCTGGACGCTGGGCGGTGGCAGACCTGTCCTCCCCGGGCTGCGCAGCGCTAGCGAGCAGAGGGCGCGGCTGCTAGGCTGCTACTTACTGGCGCGGCCACAGCGTGCTCGGTGGAGTTGCAGCCGGAGACACGCTTGGCTGCCTGGAAGGCTCTGCAGGAGGCGGAGGAAAGGGCCTGCCGCGGCCCCACCGCAGACCTCGGCCTGGGAGGGTGACCTCCTTTCACCGTTCCCACCCCGGGAACCTGCTCTCTCTCTTCTGTCAGTTCATTTTTGGTACTCCACTCTCTGATCCCCAGCGAGCTTCTCTCGCCTGAGTCCCGAACCCATGTCCCCACTGCGCTACTGAGTTGAGGAGGCCAGTACCAGCCATGAGTCTTTTGTTCTGGGACTGCTTTGCATCTGCTGCTATCTCACTGCACCTAGTTCCCCAGACACAGCTAGGTCCCTTCCCCAGCTACCTGTAGCCGGACTGGGGCTCATGCTTGGAGGCTAGGGAGATGGGTTGGGGAGAGGCACTGAGTCCCTGGGGAAAGTCGAGTTGCTAAGGCTTAGCGACTCTGAGAAGCTAAGGAGGTGGCCCAGGGAACCCTTGAGAAACAGCACCAACGGTGGGTGCAGGAAGACCTTAGCCATGTTCTCAGAGAGTTAGGGCAACGCCTCACCCCCACTGGGTTTATGGCAAAATCGAGGCTTCCAGAAAAGGGTGCTTTTGAAAGAGTCACCCAAGTATCAATATGAATTCTGCTTACAAGTCCCCTGAGATGCCCAGCAAGAGAGTCTTCACATAATAGGTGCTAAAAAAAATATTTGCTAAAGAAAGGTCCGATTAGCACACTGTGTGTTCCATAGGAAGTTCAACTCAGTACCCTTGTGTAGCCTGGTCTACAAGATTGCTAAAATCATTGCTCATGCAGAATACACACACTGAAGCCCTTCTGTGTACCATTACTGTGTCCGGTGCTGACCACCTGGCAAAGAGTAAGACTGAAGTGAACCTTTCCTTCACAGAAGGTCAGGTTGAATGCGATTGCCTTAACACATGGAAGAGAAAGTGATAACTGCCCTACTCCCAAGTCTGCCAACTGTGGTCCTAAAACCATACAATAGCCTTGAGGTTCGTTGAGGTTCAGGTCATTTTATCATCCCCCCCCACACCACACACACACCTACACATACACACCACACCACACACACACCATACCACACACATACCACACACACACCACACCACACACACACCACACACCACACACACACCACACCACACACACACCACACACACATACACACCACACCACACACACACACCACACACACATACACACCACACCACACACACACCATACCACACACACATACCACACCACACCACACACACACACCACAAACACACACACCACACACACACCACACACACACACACACACACACACACACACACTAGTCTTTAAGTCCAAAAGCAAACTCTATGGAGATCCACAGGGGCACTGGCTGGGAAGTGCTTTGTCACTGACTTCACAAACAGCCCAACTGGAGCTTGAGTTCTCTGCAGACCAGGTTCGAGGAAAGCTGGCACCATGGTGAAGTGCTGCTCTGCCTCCTCAGCCCTTTGGATGGATTCCCCAGGAGCATCAGGGCTGCCTCCTCTGGGCTGTTTCCACACTAGCCCTCCTTGGACTGTGAGGACAAACAAGGCATGAAAAGAAGGCAAATTCATTGTTTGCATCCCCCAGTTGTGAACCTCAGAGACTCTGGTGTGGATAGGAATTCCTTACCCAAGCCCCCAAAGTGGAGGCTTCCAAGCACTTCCAAGCCTCACTATGTCCTCTCCTCCCTGCAACCCCTGGAAATCAGTGAGGAATCAACAAAAATGCGCCTGCTCTCCAGATCCCTCCCTGGTGAGGAGGCAAAGCAGCTTATTTAATGCAGCTTCACCTTCTCTCATCTCTTCCTCCATCTCTCTGAGGATACCTTCCCTGGCCTCTTTTTACAGAGGAGAGACTTCTGCTCAGTGGGATAAAGAGATGCTCCCAAGGTCACAGAGGGGAAATCAAACCACAAGCGTACTTGACCCAAACACCCATAGTTTCTATACCAAAACCTTGGGGCCCAGGACCATGACTCTGAGCAGATGGTTCTTTTGAGTAATGACAATTCTAATATTGGACTACCCAACACTCCAACCTCCTCCCCTTTGTAGAATGCATGGGATCTCCTTGTAGTCAGAAGTCAACATGAAGGAATCCTATCACTGCCCAAAGTACCATTTCGTGGAACAAACTGCTATCTTCTGGTGCATTACCATTCAGCCAGTCAACAAACACAGAGCATCCCTTGGGTACAAAGTTGCAGGTCTTCTTTAGAAGTGGATTTTGACCTCTGGGTAATGAAGGACCTCCCCACCCCAAGAGCATCAGGACAGTTATGGGGAGGCTGGAAGACTTGGGGCAGACCCTGCTGGCCTGGGGAAACAGACTGAGTGTTTAGCTCCTGGTTGGGTTAAAGTCTTGCTCTGGTCACTGGCTTGGAGGACTATCTCTCTACCGAATCACTGGATTCCTTCCCTCTTACCTTTCACTGGCCGCTCACCTCTGGGTCATTCCCTCCTCCCCACTTTCATTCTCCCTTCAGGATGGGTTCAAAGACGAGTTTATGGAGGAGGGTGTGGAACAAAAAGAAATTCAAGTACCCCCCCATTCAATGCTCGTGAAATTAAATGCAGTTCTTCCAAAACTGAAGTGCAAGACCACCCCCCTCAACCTACTTAGCACATTAACCCCTTGTGTGCCTCCCCCGCTTTCCACCTCCCCACACACCCCCTCCTTCTCCCCGCCCCGCTTCCAGCTTCCAACAAAGTCAATTCTTGCCCGTTGGTTGGTTATTTGCAGACTGAATCTACTTACCCAAAGGAAGAAGAAAGAAGTGACTTAGGCAGGAAAAACACATCCACAAAAAAAGCAGCGCCGAGTGCTTGGCTCTCGCTCTGCGCCACAGCAACTTCCATGGCTATCGCTGCTGCGGGCCAGTTAGGTCTGGTGGAAGTAGCCCGCCCGCCTCGGGTTTCTGCCGCAGGAAAACAAGGTATCTGGCGGAAAAACCCGCCCTGCACTCGCTCTCGCCCAGGCTGACAGAGGCAGCATTCGGGGTGCTTTGGGTCCTCTGCCCGGTCCCTGCAGCTCAGAGTAGAGTTGCCTGCCGCACTCTTTGACGCTAGCTGAGTGGCCTGGCGTGGGAGGGCTGGGGAAACCCCAAAACCTCAATCATCTCTGGTAACGAAGTTTGCCTGAGTTGGCAAGCCCTTAGGCATCCCTCAGTCGCGGTCTGGGTTGACACAGTGTGACCTGAGGAGGCAGAGGGAAAACTGCTCAGCCAGAGAAGAGTTGAATTCTACTCAGAGGTGAGGTACAAAAATTTCCTGGGACAAGGGATAATTGGGGACAATAAAGCCCCCTGGGGGATTCTGCTTAGCTAAAGGAAGAAGGGTGGCTCTGATCAAAATCTACTTTAAATTCATAGAATGGGTTCATGCACCACACGGAATTGTTTCCCTTGGGTTTCCCCATTGCTTCCCCAAACACAGAAGAAATCCGCCCCCCGCCCCCCTCACCTCTTCAAAACATGAGAGACACAGCGCTGGGTCCTCTTTTCAAAAGACTTGAACTCCATTTGCACGTTTTATTATGAAGATATCACATGGACATACAGACACACGCACGTGCGGGTGGGGGATAATACACCCATTCATTAGGGACAGGAAAGGGTTATCCACTGGCACTACTTTTCTTGTCCAAGATAGTGTCTCCACATAGTTCTCAGCATAGTTCTTAATCCAGTCTCACGTTTCAGGTGCCAATCACCATCTGGGAACACCTACCCTTGAGTATATGTTGCTCTAATCTTGGGCTGTCTTTTGGCGTGTAAAAGCCAGAGACATCTGCAACAAAAGGACAAAGGGTGTCAGATATCCCTGGTAACATGGATCTGGACTGCCCAGGAACAAGCAGTGCGCACACATCCTGCAGACTTCGCTTGCTGACTCAAAGCTCTGGTTGGGAATTAATGAGGATGACATAGTATGAGCTCTCACGATGTTGTGATTAAAGCTTCAATTTGACGGAGATAAGTCATAACCAGACACAGTAGCCTTCCCTTGTAGGCACTCTCTGTTTTAAATCTTAGCTGTAAGAGAATAATATGTACACTCCCATTTGGGCATTATGCCAAACATCTTCACCAAAATGAATAAGCCATAATCCCACTTCTCATCTTACAGTTACTACCTTTCCCTGGGTTACTACCAAAACAGAAGCCTAAGGGTGTTGTGTTGTGTTTTGTTTTGTTTTGTTTGCTAAGAGCTTGAGCTGGAATTGTTTTCCCTCATCTTTTTATTTTGAAAATTTTAAGGCAAGGTTATAACCTCAGTTACTTGGGAGGCTGAGGCAGAAGGACCTCAAGTTCAAGGCATGCCTGAGTTACAGAGTTGGGTCAGTGCCAACCTGAATAACTTAGAGATACTATATTATGAAATAAAATTATTTTAAAAGGGATATAACTCAGTCGTAGAGCACCTGCCTAGCATGCATAGGGCCATAAATTCAATACTTATTACAAAAACCAAAAAGGAGGAGGAGAAGAAGGAGTAGGAGGAAAAAAAGCAAATGATAAAAGATTATAGTTCTTTGGTTAAAAAACAATCAGGGTTGTGGGCCTGGGGAGGTGGTTCCGTGGGTGAAGAACAGGCCTGAGGACCTGCATTCAGATCCATAGACCTCAGACAAAGTCAAAGCTGGTAGCGCACTCCTGTAATCCCAGTTCTTGCTCTGAGAGAGGAAAGTTGTAATAGGCAACTCTCTGATGCTCTTAAGACAGTTAGCTTATTCGATGAGACAAAAAGACTCTGTTTTAAGCAAGGTCAAGGGTGAGGACCAACACTCATTAGAAATTGCCCTCTGACCTCCCTGCACAGACCCACATTCACACACACACACACACACACACACACACACACAGCACAAGTGCATGTTTTAAGAATCAATACTATGGTTTAAGTCTTTCTACCCCTCCAAAAAATGTTAAAACATAATCCTAATGTAATGTCACTAAGAACTGAGGCCATTTGAGGATAATTAATATGGGGGAGCTCCACCCTCATGAACAGGATTAGACCCTTTACAAAAGGGCTTGCAGGTGCCAGGTTGGCCCTTTTTACCTTCAACCACTTACGAATGCAGCAAGAAGACACTATCCTAGAAACAGAGACAAGTACTTACAAACTACCAAACTTGCTGTCACCTTGGTCTTGCATGTCTCAGCCTGCAGAACTGCAGAAATAACTTCTATTTGAAAATCACTCAATATAAAATATTTTGTTATAGTGGTTCAAATGGACTAAAACAAGCAGGATATAATCATGACTGCATTTAGTCACCATGCCTACACATATTCTTTGATATCCACTGGGGATTGGTTCCAGGAACCCCATGGATACCAAACGCCAAAGATGTTCAAATCTCACATAAAATGTCAGATCATTTGCATAAAAAAACTGTACTCATTCTCCATTCTACTTTATCCTTTAAAGGTTTAATTTTAGCTAATTTTATGTGTAAGTATGTCTGTGTTGCATGTATAATGTGTTCATGTCCTAAGATGTCAAAAGAGGCCTTAAAGGTAGAGTTACAGGAGCTTATGAGCTGCCCAGTGTGAGTGATGAGAACTGAACTCAGATCCTCTGGAATAATAGCAAGTGCTCCTAACAAATGAGCCATCTCTCCAGAGCCTCTCTCTGCTACTTTAAACCATCTCTAGACTACTTACCAACCTAACACAAGGTAGGTGACACTGGGTAATTGCTAGACTGTATTGTTTAAGGAATAATGACAAGGGGGGAGTGGTGTGGGAGAATTGTCTGTATTCTGTCAATCATGTTTTAAATAAATGTTGATTGGCCAGGCAGAAAGTATAGGTGGGACAACCAGACAGGAAGTAAAGGTGGGGCAATGAGAACAGAAGAATGCTGGGAAGGAGGAAGCCCATTCCTCTGCAGTCCTCCCTAGACCACCGAAGAAGCAGGATGTGACCTACCCTGATGAAAAAGGTACTGAGCTATGTAGCTAACATACATAATAATAATGGGTTAATAGGAGCTACAAGAGCTAATAAGAAGCCCGAGCTAATGGGCCAATCAGTTTATCATTAATATAGTCCTCTGTGTGATTTTCTTTGGGGTTTACCGGCTGTGGGAACTGGGCTTGGACAGAAACCCCCACAAGCAGTCCCTCCTGCTACAGTGGAGTGTGCACATGCTCAATACAGATACAGTTCTTTAAATATGTTCTAAGGTTTGTTCAATCAGTTAATGTAGAGTCTACAGACAGGAAAAGATAATATTTGATATGACCATATTCTAAAATAATTTCTTTACGTTTTTAGTACTAATAGTTTTTAAGTTTTGTTTGAGTTTGAGGGTTTTATTTTTTGTTTTTATTTTGCTTTGATGCAGTATCTTATTGGGTAGCCCAGGGTTATCTGAAATGTACTAATGTAGCCCAGATTGGGCTCAAATTCATGGCAATCTTCTTGCCTCAACCTACTAAATGCTGAGGTAACAGGCCTGAGCTGTCACACCCAGCATAATATTTAAGGATCTTAATTTTTTCCTAATAATTTGTTTATTTTTATTATATGAGTATCGGTGCATTGCCTACATATATTTTGGTGCATCACACAGGTGCAGTGCCCACGGAGAGCATCAGATGCCCTGGCATTGGAGTCACACACTGCTTGGGAGATGCCTTGTCTGTTCTGAGAACTGAACCCAGGTCTCTGCAAAAACAACAAGTGCTCTTAGCCACTGAGACATCTCTCCAACCACAGTAGTAATGGTTCTTCAAAAGACCACCAAAAAATAATAAATAAAGAGCCCAAATTAATTTCCTTTCTTTCTGCTAAGGTTAAATGTCATACTGTATGAAAGAGAAAAACATAGATTTCCAGGCCAGCAAGTAGTTAAAATGACTTAGTACTTTCTGAGATGCCCCTCAAACTCCACCACAATATTCTCAGAAAATGGCTGTATCTCTACTCACCAAGTTTCTACCCTCATTACTCACAGAAGTTATCTCTGTTTCATATCCCCCAAAGGCCAAGTTTCAATGATGAGTGTTTTCACACATGTATACCAAGATGACAGGCATGGCTGACATTTATTGAATTTAGAAATAAGAGCCTTAGCAAGGTCACATAGTAAAATAATATGCTGATATTCACGTCAACCTACATAGTATTCTCATTTTAACTCAAACTTGAAGACAGACATGTTTTTGATACTTATTTGTATATGGGCAAATTTTATTCCCAGAGTTTTTAAGCTTGGCAGAATTAAAAATCCTTTTCAGAGACTTACTGTCTAGAGATGCTGGTAGAGTCTTCTTCTATAAGCCGATGACACAATCTGAAGAATAGAAAAAAAATCCCCCCAGTAGCAAGTGGAATGTCACTGCAGCCTCAAGTGGGGCAGTTCTCAACCTGTGGGTCGTGACCCCTGTAAAGGGTCACATATCAGCTATCACATTTACATTATGATTCATAACAGTAGCAAAACTACAGTTATAAAGTAGCAACAAAATAATTTTATGGTTGGGGGTCATTATAACATGAGAAACTGTATTAAGGGGTCACAGCATTCGGAAGGTTGAGAACCACTGGGAAGAATGAGAAATAATTGCCATTTTTGTTGCTTCTAAAGCTAACACTTGCTCTCTTAGTTAGGGTTTCTATTGCTGTGAAGAGATACCATGACCATGGCAACTCATTTAAAGGAAGAACATTTAATTGGAGTCGCTTACGTTTTCTGTGGTTTAGTCTTTTATCATCGTGGTGTGACATGGTGGCATGCAGGCACACAGGGTGCTGGAGAAGGAGCTGAGAGTCTTAATATCTTGATCTGCAGGCAATGGATAGTAGTCTGACTTAGGCATAGCTTGACTTTAGGAGACCTTAAATCCAGCCGACATAGTGACACCCTTCCTCCAACAAGGCCACGCCTACTTCAACAAGCCACACCTTCTTCTATGGCCACTCCCTATGAGCTTATGGGGGCCAATTACAATCAAACTACCACACTTGTTTAGT